TGACTTGGGCCTCAGGTACCGAATCAGGCCTGTTCTGAAACAGAGGGTCACCACTGCCAAGTGCGAAGTGCACGGCTCAAAGGCTTTCTTCCTGCCCTCCATGGAGTCCATTCTCATCCGGGCCACCAGGATGCGCAGGTAGGAGATGATGATGAGGATGAAGGGGAGCAACACTGTCCCAGCACCCCCACGCCCATCATGCTCTCCTGCAGGGCTGTGTCCCCGCAGAACATGTGCGGGACGATGGGCAACTCACAGAAGATGTAGTCAACAACGGAAGGACCACACAGGGAGAGGATGATGATGTACAGAGGCACAACCGAGGCAAAAAAGCCTACGGTCCAGGCCCCAGCGGCCAGCGCCACACACACGGAGCAGCACATGAGGAGCAGGTGTCCCAGTGGGTAGCAGATGGCCACGTAGCGTCCCAGGGCCATCACCGCCAGCAGAAAGCACTCAGTGGCCTCCAAGGACAAAGTAACACAGGTCTGAGCAAGGCAGAAGGTGGACGATATGACCTTCCTGTTGACCAGAAGGTTGAAGAGCATCTTGGGGACCACAGTGGTGCTGAAGGACACATTGAGGAAAGCCAGGCGGCAGAGGAAGAAGTACATGGGAGCCTGGAGGGAGGACTCCAGGGCCACCAGAGTGATGACCGTTGCATTTGCAGCACAACTGGTCAGGTAGATCACAGAGAACAGGAAGAAGAGGGACGCCTCTGCGTGGGGGGGTTGGAGAAGCCCACGAGGATCAGCTGGGAGTCGGTGCTGGAGTTCTCATGCGGGCATTTGCCTGTGCCAGACGGGAAGAGAGCAAGGCTCTCAGTGGATGCTGAGGTGAAATCATTTCTTCAGTACCGATGTGAATGCTGAAGATGATTGCATTTCATGTGAAAGTAAGAGCTACGTGTGAGATTGTCTCGTACAACCCCAAATCGCGTTTTTTATCATACGATCACCTATTTTTAATGGAATACAAAAGCTCTTTCAAGAAGAACATTTCATCTTCTTTTTTCCATGTCATCATATGTAATACAAAGCCCTCTGTCATAGTTCCTGGGTTGGGTATTTTACCTGTTTTTATTAAAAATAAGCAGTAGAGTCAGCAAAGCAGAGTTAATTACCTAGCGTGTACAGATGAAAATAATTTTACTCTCTAACAGTATTAAAAACATAAATTTGTACAGTTTTCATTTAGCAAATTTCATATTCCTGTTCCCCAAGAAAAATAAGTTTCTTCTTGATCATTTTATGCACAGGGTAAGTTACCTACTAAATTGTAGTATTTAAGGAAATGCACATTAAGTTCTCCAGCATGCACTGAAGGGCTGTACTGCTTCCTGCTGGCTGACGGTGTCATGTGAGGGGCTGGTGGAATGACTGGTTAGTCCCATATGGAAGCTGGTGCCAGGGCTGTTAGCGAGGATGAGGAGCTCTCTGGTGGTGAGGGCCGGTATCCTAGACTGCAGAAATCTTGAAAAATATTTTAAAAGTCAGGGTGCTATGAGGAGTAAGAAGATAATTGTGGTGAGAGGAGCTGGACAGGGAGGATGACAGGTGCCTAGGAGTCTAGATTAGGCCACCAAGAAGACCAACAGGAGGAGCTGGTGACCCCTTCTCATATACTGGCAGTGAAGTCTCAGGGTTTTTGGATTTTATCCATGACAATACCTGACTGGTTAACAAAGTAGCAGCATTCTTCTCTTAGCATGGCACAGGTGCTGCCCTTTTCAGCTGTCAGAACATCAAGTGCTAGGTGGTTTTGAAGGACTATGGTGGCCAGCAAGTTGGCTGGGGTCTGAAGGTAACTAGAGGATGCTGCAGATTCATCAGTGGCAGTAGTTAGTTTGGTGGATACCTGAGAGTCAAAGTGCAAGGCCACTCCAACACCCAGGTTCCCATGCCAGTGGCTATGAAAAGGCCAATACCTGTTAGGATTGAGGTGAACTGTACTGCTCTGTGGGACCTTGGGTGGTGTTGGAACATGTTTTGTATTCCTGTTATGATGTGGGCTTCAGTGTTTAGTGTGACCTATGGAGTTACCACTGCCACAGTACAAGAACCCTTCCACATGGATGGGAGACAGGTAAAAGCTCCTTTGCCACAGACAAAGAACTGTCTGTGAGGAGAACAAGTAGGAGTAGAGGTGTCTGGAATGGGATGCAAGCATGTGCAAGAGGTTAAATTTCCCACCACAGAGGCTGATTGGGAAGGGCTCGGGTGAAAGATGCAGGAAAGGTTTTTTGGCCTTAGAAGTTATGGAGCGAAATTCAGGAGGCCAACAATGTCAGCCTTAGAGCTGATTTGAAGTGAGCAGATATTTAGGGTGACTGGGTAAGCCATGTATAAATCCTGTTGGAGGGTAAGCAGTGCCAGCAACTGGAAAGATCCGTGGTATTGGGAGTTTGAGTAATATTTTTGAGAAACCCAAAGGTGTCCTTAAGAAATTAGCATATGGAAATTGAGGCAGGGTGTGAAGAGAAGGTGAAGAGGAAGGAATAAGGTCAGAAAGAAAATGGAGAGGTTGTAGATTAGGGAGTTGTCTTTTATAAAGGGTCAGGCACATTGTGGTGTCCGGGCCTGATGAGTAGTGTAGCCAGAATCCCCAAGTATGACCTTTCAGGAAAAATGGGAATGTGTCTTGGTAGGAAATACTGAAGTTTAAGAAACATTGTCTTGGTGTGTAGGTGAGATTCAGATGATGATAACTGTCATTGTTTTTCCAAAAATAGTCTGGTGAGGCCTATTGATTCACAACCCCAGTGAGAAAAATAATATTGGGTTGGGTCATGGCAAGGCTTACAGTTCGGGTTTTGGGGCACATGTAGAATGCTGGAGGGCTGCATCGGGCCAAGGTGGCCCCACATGCTTGATCTCATGTTTTCTGTCAGCAATTACCCACGACAAAGAGGTGACATAATAAGACCTAAAGGTACAGTAAGAGATGTCAAGTGTAAGAGGGCCCAAATCCAGTATTTTTAAGCTATGATGGTTCCATCTTGCCTAGTGATAGAAAAGGAATAGTTCAGAGACGAGGGCAGGAGTGCTGTTGTGAGTGGGATAAGGGCCCAAATTATGAAGGATCTGATGTTGGATAGCTGTAAGGAATGACTCAGTGACTGTGTTTAGTAAAGCAGTTGAGAGTAGAGAGTCCAAGGACTGTTGTGAGGTATAAAAATGTAAAAGCTACTTTGTGTGGCACTTGAAAGTCTTTTGGGCAAATGGTCCAAAGTGCAACAGAGAATGCAAAAATCAGCAAGAGAGAAGAGATCACAAACCAGACAGGATAACAAAACATGAGTTATTTTGGAAGTGTGTTGGGGACTTTGGTGAGGTGGAGATGAGTAAGGGATAGAAGGTGTGATGACCACTGTGTAAATGAGGGTTTGGGGTTGGAGACAGTAGGGTTATCAGGACACCAGTTAGCTTGGGTGACATGGAACCAGGATGGCACACCAGTAACTTTCGTTGCTATAGGTGTTGTGAGGATGACTAAGTGGGGTCCTGACCAGTTGGGCTGCAACTCTGTGGGCTTAAAGATTTTAGATATATTAAGTCTCCAGGAGTTATAGGTGGCTTGGGCTGTGTGTTATCTATTGGCTGTGGAAGGCATAGGTCAGCATGTTGTTGTAAAAGATATTGGAAGAAGGACAGGGTTGGGATATAGTCAGTGATGGGGGAAGATTTGGGTGGGAAAGTTATGAAGTAGGAATGGTCTACCATACATGGACTCAAAGGGACTTAGAAAGTGGGCATCGAGGGAAGTGCCCTGAGTCTAGTTAGAGTGAGGGAAAGGAGTTGAGGCCAAGGCAGGTGCAGCTCTAGGAGGAGTTTTGTGAGGTGTGCTTTTAAAACTCCATTTGCCTTTTCTACTTTTCTCGAGAACTGTGGGTTGTATAGTATGTGTAAATGCCAAGTAATGTTGAGAATTGAGGCTATCTGTTCAGTTATTTGGGAAATAAAACCTGGATCATTGTCTGATGGGGTAGTTTGAGGCAAGACAAGTCAGGGAATAATGTCTAGGATAAGAACCTTAGACACTATGTTGATGCTCACCTGAGCAGTGGAGAAGGCCTCAATCCACCATAAAAAAGTACAGACAAAGTGAGAAGCTATCTGTAGGTTTTGTGAGGAGGCATATGTGTAAAATCTATCTGCCAGTCTTTGTCTGGAGTGTGTCCATGGAGTTGGTGGGTTGAGAAAGAAGGAGGAGGTAATTGTCCTTGAGGAAAGGTTTTGGTGCAGAGATGGCAGCCTTGGGTAACCTGGCAAAGAATGGTTTTTAGGCAGGGTTGTGTGGTAGTGGGGGTCAGAAGTTTACATAAAACCTGAGTGCCTACATGAAAGCAGTTATGTAAGTCAGTGGTGATGGCTAATACCTACTGATCTGGGAGGAGGAGGAGAAGCTTTGGTCCTTGAAAGATCCATTCCTGAGTATTTTTGTGGTAATCAGGTTTGCAGAGTAGATATAGTTGTTCTGATGAATGCTGGGGTGAGGGTGTGGTGTTGGGATAAGGGCTAGAAGGCAGGAAGTGTATGTCTGTTATGTAGCTAAGTTGACCTGTGTGTCTGCAAAGGCATTACCCTGAGCAATGGGATCTGATGGTGTTTGGTGTCCCCTGCAGTGAATGACTGCTACCTGTTTGGGAGCTGTGCCACCTCCAGAAGTTTGAGGATGAGAGGTGCATTGGTGGTGGGAGTGCCCTGAGTGCTAATAAAGCCTCTTTCTTGCTAGATGGCAGCACGGGAGTGCAGGATACTAAATATGTACTTTGAGTCAGCATAAATGTTTATGATCTTGTCTTTGGCCAGTGTGAGGGCTTGTGTGAGGGCTGTAAGCCCTGCCTTTCGTGAAGCTGCCACAGATGGGAGTGGGCCTGGCTCTCTGCTGACTGGTTGACTATGGTGTATTCTGCCTTCTTTTGAGTGTTTGTGTTAGTTAAGCTGCTGTCTATAAACCATGTGTCAGAAGCTGTGGGAAGAAGAGTGCTATTAATTTAGGGGAAGGGAGTAGGGGTCATCTGTCACACTTCAACACAATTGTGGTGAGGGGTCTCATCAGAGGTGGGAATTAAAATGACTGAGTTGAGGGGACCACTGGTGGAGCTAGTGATGGAAAGGTCTTTTATGAGTACCAGGTGAACTTGTTGACAGCAAAGGAGTCATTAGGGCAGGGAGTGTCTTGTGAGAGGTGAGATCATTGAGGCAATGAGGTCAGTGTACTGTGATTCATTGTCCTAAAGTGAAACTTTTTGCCTCCTGTGTTAATGTGGCTTCTGCAGCAAGAGCTTGGAGACAGGGAACCCACTCACATATTGTGTTGTCTAACTGTTGTGAGAGATATTCTACCACTTGGAAAGAAGGTCCCTTTTAGTGCCATAAAACTCCCATAGCATTGCGGTCTTGAGAGACAGTGTATAGGCTGAAGGGTTGAGTCTGGTTTGGGAGTGTGAGGGCTGGGGCCCTTAAAATGCCCTTTTGTTACTTGTAAAAGGAAGAATGTATAGGAATAGTAGGGCTGAGGGGTTCTGACAAGGAGCCTTTGGATGCTTTACACAGAGGTTGAGCCAGGGGAGCAAAGTCAGGAATCCAAATGTGAAAGAGATTAGCTAGAGCAAGGAAAGATAGAGCCTGTTGTTTTGTAATTGGTGCTTGGAGGTCACGAAGGAAGGCTTTGCAATGGGTAGTGATTGAGCGAGTGGTGGGGGTGAGGGTGTGGGTGGGTCCTAAATATTTGACTCTTGGAGAAGCTATTTGAGTTTTGGGAGGAGAAACCCTATATCTGTGATCTGAAAGAAAGTTGAGAATGGTTGAGGTATGTTGTATTTCTAGAACATGGGAGGTGGAACAGAGGAGGAGGCTGTTTATATATTGGAGGAGTGTGCTGGGTTTGAGGTTGAGGGTTGCAAGATCTGTAGCCGGGGCTTGGCTGAAGAAGTGAGGACTATCTCAGAACCCCTGAGGTAGGATGGTCCATGTGAGCTACACGGACTAGAGAGTATCTGGGTCTGTCCACATGAAGGCAAAGAGATCCTGACAGTCAGGGTGCAAAGGGATAGTGAAGAAGGCATCTTTGAGATCTAAAACTGTAAAGATGGTAGCGGAAGGGGGACTATGAGAGAGCATCATGTAAAGGTTTGGTACCATTGGTGTAATTGCATTATTAATAGCCCTAAGGTCTTGAACTAGACGATAGGAGCCATTAGGTTGATTTCAAGGAGAATAGGAGTGTTGTAAAGTGAATGGGCAGTTTTAAGAAAACCATTTGTTAAGAGATATTGGATTATGGGTTTGAATCCCCATTGATGTTTGGGGGCTATAAGATATTGGGGAACACAGGGGAAAACTGAAGGATATCGGAGGTGAATTAACATGGGGGGTGGCATGGGTAGCACGAGTGGGACTGGAGGTATCCCAAACTACGGGATAAGGAGGAAGAAGAGGAGGCAGAAGAGGGACTGAACTAATGGCACACAGTGGTTGAGTTTGAAGGATGAGAGCAGTGTGGAGGGAAACAATGAAAGAGAAGTTGAGTTTTGGAGGAGATCTCTGCCCATGAGAGATGTAGGACAAATTGGAATAACAAGAAACTTATGGGTACAAAAGTGTTTTGAGTCTGCAGGGGATGGGTCCTGTCTGGAGAAGTCGTGTAGGTTGGCCGTCAACTCCCACAACAAAGACCATTGATCAGGAGCAGCGACCTGAAAACTCAGGAGGAACACTACATGTGGCCCCCCTGTCAACAAGAAAAGAGAGTGTCTTACCTGAGATGTCCAGCGAGACTTGGGGCTCCAAGGATACCTTAATGGGGGCCATGGACCCCAAGCCCCATCAATCCTCTTCAGTGGTGATGCCACGCAGGTTGACCAGCGATGTGTCTGGTGGTGGCAGTGGTGATGAGATCTCCTGTGATGGCAGGGAATGAGATGACGTACCAGCTAACTGGTAGACAGGGCAATCACACTTCCAATAACCCTCGAGATTGCAGATGAGACAAGGTCCCGGCCACAGGTTGGGGTAGGTTCATGCCCAGTGTCCTTCATTGCTGCACTTAAATCATGTTCCAGGAGAGCCTCAGGGGGCACCACCTTGCTTTGGCTTACCTATCTTGGGAAGCCCAAGAGCTGCAGCCAAAAGGTCATGCTTATATTTAGCATGTGATTTTTCTAATTTTTGTTGTTGGTCTCTATTGTTAAAGTTAGGGAGGTCTCCTTGTGTGGTCTGAGGATGAAGCTCAGATTTTTTAAATTCGGCCCAAATATCAGGGGCTGACTGGGTGATGAAATGAGAATTGATAAGGGCTATCAACTCAAGGGATTGGGGGTCTATGCTTGTGTACTTGGTCAGGGTGTCTGTGAAGTGGGTAAGGAATTCAGTGGGATTGTCACTATAATGTTGGGTCTGTTCAATGAGTTTATTATAATTTGTTTATGAGAAATTTTATTAAGACCCTCAGTTATACAGCCATTCATGATGTTTACACGTTGTGAGACATTGTTGCCCTGATAATCCCACGGGGGTCTGCATCTGGCACTGCAGTGGGCCCAGCAGGATGGTCAGGTTGCCTTCAGCTTGAGCTGCTTGCCACAGCTGAGCCTTCTGTTGGGGGCAGAGAGTAGAAGTGAGGATGATATAGAGATCTTTGTACTGTAAATCTTAGGAATTAACCACAAATCGTAGTTCTTTAATACAGGTATAAGGATCAGTGGAGAAGGAATCTAATTTATGAGAGATTTGAGATATGTCAGAGAGAAAAAAACATGAGTGCAAACCAGGTCCTCAGGGCTAGCCTGTTCGCTGAGAGGGAGAAGAGGCTGAGGCTGAGAAAATGGTGGCTAACTATGAAATGGTGGCTGGCTCCAAGATGGCCGCTGACTACAAGATGGCAGGGGACTACGAGATGGTGGGGGGGTGGAGTGCAACTGAGTGTGATGTGCGGGGGGAGAAAATGGTGATGAAGGAGTGGAGGACAAGGGGTGGAGGCAGCAGAGGGTGAGGAAAGAGTGGGGATGGGTTAGGGTCATCAGGCTGAGGAGACTGAGGTGAGGAAGCAGGCTGAGGAGAGTGAGGAGATTGGGCCTGTGGACATGGTGGAGGAGGAGTGAAAGCAGGGGGAACACCTCTGAGAGTGCTGGGAGGGGAATCAGGTAGGGGTTCTGATGGTATGAGCCAGACATATTTGGACTGTCCCACATGCCTGAAGGAGAGAAGGAAGCTCCCTGAGAGCAGTAAAAGCTTCAGCATAAGGGATGTCTGCCCATTTGCTGTTGGGATAGCAAAAGTTGTCTAAGTCCTAGAGGATATGGAAACCAAAAGTACCCTCCTCAGGCCAGTGGCCGCCATTGTCAAGTTTGTATTGAGGTCAAGCCATCTGACAGTAGAAAATTAATCATTTTCATTTAGCAATCTTCCTGAAACTGAGAGTGTTTAGATTTTTTTAAAAGACACAAATGGAGAGGGTTTTTTTTTCTGACTGGGAAGGAATATTTCCCATTTGTGACTGAATTAAAGGTAAGCCAGAGGCTAGAAGCTGAGTCACAACCCTTTAGAGGATCATCACCCTCGTTGGGGTGTGAGTGAGTGAGAGGTGCCCCTGTTACCATCACCAAGAGGACAGAGAGGATCCCATAGGACATGAGAGAGTCCTGATGTGTGCCCATGATTTCTGAGAATGAGACAGAACGAGACAGCAACTCCCAGGGAAAGGAGTGCTTCACCTGGGAGAGTCGAGGTGGATTGGTGTTGGATGGAGGCTGGCAATGGCAAAGGCAGGGATGAGAAAAAGAAAAAAGGTGGCTTGTTGGTAGGGGGAGCCCAAGCCAAGGGAGTACACACTTGGGAGCTACATGCCCCAACCACTATCTGAGTCAAGGCACCAAAATATAGAGTGAGAAAGGGGATGAAGATAAAAGAAGCCTTTATTGTGGGGGCAGGAGGGCTGCAGAAGAGTGCAAGGGCCCTCTGCCAGGCAGGTAGGGGGACAAAGAATATATTAGGCTGGGTTGAGGGTGGAGTTTACAGGGGCGGTCAAGGTGTCGTAAGGAATGCTGATTGGGGAAAGTTCAAGGTACACACAGAAAGAAATGGGAAGTTGTGGTCAGACTGAGAGAGGAAGAAGGCGGAAGTTAGTCTGGGAGAAACACGCTGTGGTTTTGGGCCCCCGCGCCATGCTGGGAAGTCTCCATGATGACTTGGCAGAATTTTGAACAGGCTGGAACCCATCCCCCACATTGTTTCCCCCTTTACCTCGGGCTCTTCTAAATCTCACGGGGACAGCACCAGTGATCATCAAGCTGACTGCCAGGAATACCACAAGCATGGCCAGCACCACTGCCCAGCCACTGACCCCAGGAAGCAAGGCCTCTGAAAAACAGAAAGCAGCTACTGAGGCCCAGCTGGACACTGACTGACTTGGATGCTGAGTTCAAGTACTTGGATGGTTTCTCCAGGGAGAGAGCAGGGCAGAGATGCTGAGCCCCAGCCCCACTGCTACTCTCAGGAACTCAGGGTCTGAGGGTCTCCTGTGTCCCTGCCTCCCCAGTGTGTGAGACCCAGGAGGACCCTAAGTAATTTGGAAGCTATGGGAACACACTGAGTATAGAAGCTAGTGCAACAGATATTCATGCATCTACCATCCAGACCGAATCCCATATTTACACATGGGACGTGCAGAAGTGTTCATGAATACAAGCGCACTGAGTGCAGGAGATTCTCTTCCCCTCACTCTTCAAGGGAACTTGCCCCGGTCCTCTCTGTCCAGTTATTCCCACCTGTCCATAGCTGTGAGCCCAGCGTTATGCTGAGGACACAGGTGGGACATGCTACAACTAAAGCGGGGATGTAGCCTGGTGTCAGAGGATGAAACACACAGATGCCAAGTCCAGCCTACAGCAAAGATTCATCTGAGAGTGTGACTGTTGGTAACTTAACTTTGAAAGAACAAATTACTAGGATGCCAGTGTTTATCTATGTAATAATGCAAGCTTAGAAGAGAGCAAGGACATTCCTGTTCAACAATGATCTTCATTCAATAATTTCAAAAAAACATGCTCACACGGTAATCAGCTATTCTGATAATTCCTGTTAAACTGCTTATGCGTAATTGGCTCAAATTAACAAATATGAAGATGCATTCTTTCTCTATGTCATGTTCTACCATACAGGTTTCAGGAGTCTTCTGTCATCAGGATTAATGATCATTATATTTCTTAGCACCAACTCATTCTCTAAAATATAGCCTGCAATCCTCTTTTGGTGTGAAAGCCTAACTACAACATATGGGCTACTATACCACTTCAAATTCTGATTTTCTAAGGTTCTCAGTAGAAACTTACTCCTCTGGTACATAATTTTTCTTTACAATTCCAACCTCAAAAGCTTTCTCTTTAATCACCTCCAATGTGTGAAAGTTATGAAATGAAATCACTAAAAGAACATTTTTTAGTAATTCCTCCAGACAAAGGATATTTTTTACTAAATCCTCCTTACGTTAATTTCTATATCAAGTTGGCAATATATATTTAGCATTAATTAATTTACCAACTAGTGGGGATACTTAAGAATTAAAATGTAATAGCTACAACAGTTTATACGCTACTTGGGGATACAGAAAAATACAATTCAGAGTAAACAGGGGAGCTTAGGGAGGCCCTTAGTGCAGGTCAAGCTGGGCGAAGCTCCTGGAAAGGGCGCAAGAGTCAGGCACTAGCAGGAAACAGCTTCTGTGAGGAGACAGAAAGAGCCCAGCAGTCAGCGCCATAGCGGCTGATGCTGTGTGCGGTGAGTTGGGGAGGGAGATGGCAGAGAAAAGAAGAGAAAAGAACAAAAGGCGGGACTGGAGAGAAAACACAAAAACACAGGGAATGAACAGCGAGTTCACGGGCTCCGCAGTTCCTCTGAGACTGAGGAGAGCAGTCGCGGAAGCTGCAGGGAGCATCGGAGCCACACGGGACTCCTGGGAGCGGTCACTGCGGACGGAGCACAGCGCAGACTGCGGCGTGCAGCTCTTCTCCGCCCTCGGATGCCTGACGTGACTCACTGCTCACGACGGTCTAATGACACAGATAGCGGGGTTATTGCTGTTTAACGGGACCAGACAGACAGTGACCCGTGCTTGTCCAGTGTCACAGGGCCAGCAGACGGCAGTGCAGGACTTCAACTTGATATAGAGGAAGCCTAAAGTCCATATTGTTAGGCAGGAGTCTCCCCTCGCAAAAGTCACCTGACAAGTTTGGGATGGACTTCAACATGTTCCTCAAAATGCTCTGTTACACTTAAATGTTTTGCTTATCCATGACATCGTTTCTTATGAAGTGAATTAATGGTTTACTATACTAAAATAAGCAAAGGTAAACCAGGTATATTTACCTAGGTTTCCAAATAAGAGTTGGAAATGGGTGAGCTGGACCATTCTTCCCATCTTTCCATTAGGGTCATCACTAGTGCACTTCCCTCCTCAGCCCTGACATCGCAGAATGGGAGCTCTGAGGGAACTCACCGGCCACTGAGAAACATGACTTCTTCTCCTCTCCAAGCACAGGGTTCCTGATTGAACAGGACACATCTGCTCTTGAGCTTTCCTGCACTGTGACAGAGCTTTCCACGTGGATCAGGCCGTCTTCTTGTACAGAATTCGTCACAGAGTCAGGTGACAGAGGCCGTTCTTGTGGGTCCCTCCACTGGAGCTCAGGCTCTGGGTACCACCCTGAGGATGAGCAGTTCAGCGTAATACTCCCATTGTGCGCAGGCTGAATTTGAATGTGAGGAGGGGCACCTGAGGCTGGAGGAATCATGAGAGGGAAAATAATTCTTTTTTTTTTTTAATTTACAAACATGTCATATGAGACAGTCAGCTGGTGCTTACTAATGAACCTTTCCATGAATCTCCACTCTGTGCTATGAAAATTGAATTACAGAAGAGCTGGACATAAAGTATTTCCCTGCACATCAGTATAAGTAAGTGAAATTAACAATACCAGCACTTAGGAAAATATGCAATAGCAAGCAGTCCTGTATCTTTTATTTCCTTTCCTCCTTCCCCTGGGAGGTGTTATTTATCCTTCCATCTGATGACTCATGAGGTAGGTGCTGAAATACTCTGTCCCTTCAGTTGGAGCTGAGAGCTGCAGATCACACAGCATCCTGCGGTTTTCTGTGTAAAATACAGTTGATCTCACAGCATTCACTTAGCTGTTCTTTATCTACGTCGGAACTCTCCACAGGAACCTGTGACATGCGGGCGGTCCTGTCACCGTGGTGCAGTCCATCAGACACCAGCAACACATACGTGTGTGTGGAGCGCATGCAACATGGTTGTAGAAGCTAACACCAAATTTCATTTCACTCAGTATCCATTCAGTGTCAATGTTCAGAGCAACACACAGCTAAAGCACCTTGTTGGGGCAGCACATTTAAATGCAGGTCTTGTCTCTGCACACACCTGTTGCCGGCTGAGCACCACACAGACCAAGTGTGATTTGCACCTAGCATTGAACATAGATGCTGACAGAAGCGATACGCTGGACATGCCCTGAGCATCCTTTAGCCAGTGACCGTGAGGGGAGGCAGCAAGTCAGCCCATTGTGCTCCACTTCCCTACCCAGGGCTGGCTTAGGCTCTTCCTCAAAGTGGACAGGACGGCTTCACTGAGGGGAGCTGCAGCCTCAGACTGAAAGACGTGCAGACCTCACAGTGTGCACCCACTCTCCCACCCAGGCTGCTTGCTTCTTGCTCCTCTCAGCAGCACTGGGTCAGGACGAAGCCCAGCGTGCAGCAGGGCGGTGCACACAGCACGGATGCTTCACCTGCTCCCGTGCTGTGTCTGTCCACAGGACCGGTCTCGGTAAGGAGGTGGGGAGAGGAAAATGCAGCCAGGAGCAAGAGGTGAAGCTGCAGCGCTGAGCTCTGGAGGAGAGCAGCCCTGCTGAGGGCAGCACAGCGACTCCTTGAAGGGAAACAGTGAGGAGGAGGCAGGAAGGGGCTCTGGGCTCCTGCAGAGACCGCATTTCCAGGAGGAACAGATTCCTGACCTGGGCCTCACTGCGCTCCTCCAGGAGGACAGGGCAGACTAAATAAATGAGGGCCAGCAGCCACGCAGGTAAGACAGCACAGCTCCTGAGAGGGTCCATGAGGTTCAGCTCTGAGCAATCAGCCCAGGGCTTCAGGTGTCCACTGAGATATATATATATATGCACATAGAGAAAGAAGATGGATCAGCATAGGACGTATTTTTTTCTAGTGTCTCATAAGAGAAAAGGCAAAATTAAAATGAAATGTTTCCCACATCACTGAAAACAGAAAAACTTTCCTTGAGAATGTAGTAAAAAGACTCCAGGAATATAAGGACCAATCTTTCTCTGGAAAAACATTTGGATTCTGCAGAACGTATTTGTGATTGCTTATTCTTTCAAGTTGAAATCTCAACGACACAGTGGAAAAATTTACATCTGCCAATATAGTACTTAGTTACAGGGTACAAATTTAGAATAGAGTAAAAGGTAGGATTGCAAGTAACTTGATTTGCAAGTGTGCCACAAGAGGATCAGGCATTTCTAATAAATTCTAACTTGATAATCAGGGATGTCTGGCAATAAGAGTAGTCCCTGATGTTGAATGTCACATGATCACAACTGAGCCAATGGCCTGTGTGTGTGTGTGTGTGTGTGTGTGTTTGTCTCCCTTTTTCCTAGCATTGTGGGTGATCATCTCCCAATAGCAAGAGGATATTCAGGAGATCTCCTCTGCAGAGGAGGAAAAGAAAAAGGTGAAGGAATTCCTTACTTTCAATGAGATTAGGAAGATGTGGGGCTGGGGATTTAGCTCAGCGGCACAGTGCCTGCCTGGCAAGCGCAAGGTCATGTGTTTGATTCCCGGTACCGGGAAAAAAAAAAAAAAGAAGAGATTAGGAACATGTGTAAAACGTGAGAAACAGTGCAAAATTTTGTAGAAAAGCAACACCAGAATAAAGCTGTAGCCATATGAGCAATGCATCAGTTTAATAACAGTGTAATGTCAAATTCAGCATAGTGCTTAAAAGGAGGCAAAAGGAGGGCCTGGGGATTTAGCTCAGTGGCAAAGCGCCTGCCTGGCAAGCACAAGGTCGTGAGTTCGGTTCCCGGTACCGGAGAAAAACCAAAAAAAAAAAAAAAGGAGGCAAAAGGAAATGCCAGTGAATAGCACTCTTTTTTTTTTTTTTTTTTTTGCCTTTTTGAGACAGGGTCTTCCTATGCAGTTCAGGCTGGCCTTGAGCTCACTTTGTAGCCCAGGCTGGTCTTGAACTCGCAAGGATCCTCCTGCCTCAGCCTCTCAATTGCTGGGATTACAGGTGTGTGCCACCACACCCCGCAGCATTCCTGTTAAAGTTGCATAAAAAGAAAAAGGTTCCACTGAGTCAGCAGACAGCAGTGATTCTATTAATGTTAGTCAAAATCACCCTACACAATGACCCTCCTCTCTCTTGCCTCCCTCACACCAGCCATGAAGGTTTTCAAGGTAAAGGCAGATGAATTTCTTCATTTTTCTTTATATTTTGTATTTTCTTTATTATTTTGAATTATATACCATATTGGAATCATTTTTATAGGAAATTTTTGGGTTGTGGAACAAATCATGTGGGTTTTCATTATTTCTTAAGTAGAAATTTGTTTTGATATACAAATGCTCTGGATTACAAGCATGTTTCTGGAACACATTATGCTTGCAAACCAAGGTTGCACTGTATCTCACTGCTCCTGGAGCATGAGAAAACAAAAGGGACCTCCTAGACAGGCTGTGTTTGTTCTGGCTTCATAGAGAAGTGAGGGGGTTTAAAGCACATTGTCTCTGGTGGAATGGACACAACTGAAATTAGGAAGACTGACACTGGCTTCATCTTAAATTGAATTTCTGATGCACTCTATGTGCCTAGATTGAACCTAAAACCACTCCTGCCTTACTCCTTTCTAAAAGTTAGAAAGGTGATACCTCTAAAAAACTCTCCTCTTGGACCCAGGAGATCAACACAGAGATTCCAGCAGGTGGTCAGGTAAACACTGCCAGTGTCAGGAAAAACTCCAGGGCAGGCAGGACAGCTGGTGCCCAGGAAGGTGCTGCCTAATGGAAAGTGAGTGCTGCTGAGTATGTGGGCAAAAAGTGAAGAGCAGAGGGGAAAACTACTCCCTACCCAGTGTGGAATCCCTCTGCTCCAGAAGAAGCACTGGGACAGGACAAGTCAGGCTGCTGCAGAGGAATGAAAGAATGCTGCAGAAGAGACAGTGGAGGACCTGGTGCTCAGATTCAAAGCCACTCATGAAGTTTTTTAAAAAATTTACATAAGTGAAGGTTTATTGATCACAGTTGCAATAACTGTAGAAAATGTTTGCGGAGCCCGTAGGAAGGGACGTGCCAGGGTCTCCCCCAGGAGTCCCCACAGAAGAGTTCAGATCTCACCAGAAGGTATGCCTTGGAGAAGGAAAAGTGCAGTCAGGATCACCCACCATGCAAGCACCTCGGAAAGGGCATCTGGCAAGAGCTGCTCCTTTGCATGCAGTGGGCACCTACAGGATGGACTCCAGGGGGCCTGTTGGAAGAGGTGGGGCTTCCTCAGCCAGACAGGGGTTGACCTCTGCCCCAGGACCACAGAGATTGCATGGAGAGAGGTATTGTAATGACTGATTGACTGTGTCAACTTGAGAAGTTTAGAAGCTTAACTGAATCTGTTCAGCAATTCTACACTGCAGGGTATGCCTAGGAACCACCCTTGGGCAGCCTGTCTTCGGGAACATAGAAAAGGGAAATGAGGAAGTGTGGGCTGCCTTCTGAACTTCAGAGGAGCTGCAGGCTTCGCCTTAGGCTTGGATGTCATCTACTAGCTTCTAGTGAAGACTCTTCAGCTTGCACCTTGCATCTTTCAGCATTCAGGTGTAGACTCTTACCCTTCTGGTGTAGACCTTTTGGCCTTTATCACAAACCCAATAGCCTCCTGATGCAGACTAGCAAGTCCTCTACAGTGAACTCCAGACCCTGGACTGGAGCTTTCAGTATCCAGTGTGCAGACACCTCTATGCTGTTCTGCAAACAACTCTGGGGGTGACCATGATAAGCCAATCTTATAATTTCTTATACATTTGCATATCTTGTGTTATATCTGTTTCTATAGTAAAGCAATGACTGATACAGGCATGAAGATTCTGGTTTGCAGAAACTGGAGCCACAGTTTTCTGGATAAATTTCTGTTTAAATAAATAAATAAATCTCTTCTTTGGAGATTCCTAAACCTTGTAAGAATTGTATGACTTATTAACTTTTTGGTAACTGAGAGACCATGGTCACTTTGGTCCTGGTCACAATTGCTGTGATGCACAGTTATTCTCCCAGCAGTATCTGGGTTTCAGAGATTGAAATAGATCGGAAGAACTGGAGATAAACACACGTTGTTGGACTTGCAGATCAAGCGTTTCCTGCACTTGAAGGTCAGTGTTTTGCTGTTAGTGATGGTTTGGCTGGTTTCGCCTGAAGCCCTTTAAAGCGAGACGAAGAGGAACCCATGCTGGAGCTCAGCAGATAGCCCAGAGGTATCTGTAGCGTGAGATGCTTTAGGCTCAGTTCATGGCTGAAGTACGAGCCCTCCCTTACCCTTCCATCTGCTCAGGACAAGCTTTCCCTGCTGTCCATGTCTGGGGAGTAGGGGAGGTCCAAGCACAGGCTTCTGCAAAGATCTGAGTCCAGAGGGTGAGGGAAGAAGAGCGGGCAGGAACACATGTGATAGGAAGAAGCACAGCCAGGATGGAAAGAAATGAGGTGTAGAAACCCAGAGTTTGAAACTAGGCTGCCCAGGTCCTTCCTGTCCTTGTAGACCTCCTGGTGGGCCTAGCAAGTGAGAAGGAAATCCCGAGACTGAGATGTGTTATGAGACTCTTGGAGTTACAACATACTACACTCCATGATCCAATCTGCCCTTTAGCAACTATACTGGCAAAGAAAAATTTAGGAATCTTTTTCCATGAAAGAACAAATCACTCTATAAAAACTAAGTAGATGAATTTGAACTCTAACATCTGGCATTCCTTTATGGTGTTTGTACACACGCAGTCACATATTCCACACCTACAGACGAGTCCTAGTTGGATAAAAATATACCCGTTCAGCATTTTCAGCGCTCACCTGTGACAAGCAGCTCAAACTGTGCTTGCCCGAGCTGTGTGGATCTTACAAAGACGCAGCTGTACTGCCCTTCATCTCCAGGGAGGACGGGATGGATCCTCAGGGCCACCTGGCCATGGGTGATGTTCTCCCTCAGGAGCTCTGTCCTCCCTCGGTACTCGGGACTCGGCTGCTCCGTGTGGTCCTGAGAATTTCTGTACTCGTATACCAGTACCGAACGGCGGCGGTCATGGTAGCATCTGACCTCCATGTTCTGAGTATCCTCGGATGGGCTGAGGTTGCAGGGAAATACAGCTGCTTCTCTGACCCGGGCAATGACTGGTGATGTTGGTCCCTCCACTTGGAACTGCCCTGGAGGTGATTAAGAAGAGGACAGCGTCATTGCTGAGAGCATGGCAGGCATGGTGGTGGCTTTCTGACAAGACAAGAAAGACAGCAGATCGGATGACACGATAAGCTGTGAACAGCTGATGAGCAGAAGTAAAGCAGGAAGTGCAGGTTCACATTTAATCAAAGAGGCCACAGGGCATTAGGCTAAATGAGCAATAGTCACAGGACCTGAAGCTAAGTTAACACGGGTGCACACTGCATGAGTTATAGACAGATACTAACACAATAAAATTACGTTAAAAAATTAATACAAAAAGATGTGCAAAATAGTATAAAATCACAACAGGGAATCTGTGTGCGGCACTGTGCGAATGAAAAGAAAAACTATAAATATTCGAATTTTTCTCCATTTTCCAAGTGAAGATCTTTTTCTCTCTTTTTCTTCCTTTAGAAAATTGCCTTATCCTTCTCTGGGATGTAAACTTTTTTTTAGCCCCATGAGCTTTTTCTTAATATTATAACCAGACACATCTTTCTATAGGGCCTGGGAAATCTCAGATGAGAATGTGAGCCCCAGTGAGGAGAGAGATGCCACCCTTCCTGCACTGCGCAGGTGAACCCCGAGACCGTGCTCTCAGTGCTTTCTGTGAGTGTGATATAAAAGTAGGAAAGTTCTATTTTCCACTAGGGAAAGACAGTTCACTGATATCAATGCCCATGTCATTTTCAAGATGAATGTATGAAGGAAAATGTACAGCGAAAGGTGTCACCTTTGCGACTTCGGGAAGGTGTCTTTTCCCCAAGAGCACGTCTGCGTGGCTTAGCAGCCTGGAGGATTCCTTTCTGTCAGAGCAATTTTATGCATGATCTCATGTGATTTAATCAGTTTGTTAGTTGATTGCTCATGCTGTGCATTACATTCTGCTTTAACTTAACAAAGTTGTTTAGTTTTTTTCTGCACTGTGGAAGTCACTTTTGCAGGTGGGCAGGAGATTCTGTCCTTTAATGATGCCCAAGAAGTACACACAGGAGCTCTTCTACCTGTGTTCAGCGGAGCAGGAGCTCAGGCTGCCTGGGCCCGTGGGCAGCTGGGGCTGCAGGGCAGGCACTGGGGCTCATCAGCTGCCTGCCCTGCACTCGCTCTGCAGCTGAGTCAGGACTGACCTGCAGTGCTGGACACAGGGCTGGTTCTGAGGAATTCCAGAACTGGGGAGAGTTAGGAAAGGACTCAGTTACCCAGCAGCCACATAAGTGTCCAGAGTATTGTGTGAGTAATGACACACAGGAGTCACTCACCACTGAAGTTAAACTCAAGTGTGTCACAAACATCAAATGCCTAACCATATGACCTGATCACAACGAAAAGGAAACACAAGCACACACGCACACACCCCAAAGTGCAGGAACATTGAAAAGTCCGTGGATAAAATCCCAAGTAGGAATTTCACTCTTTTGATTTTAAAGTGCATTTCCAATATTCAAAATATATTAACAAGCGCTATTACCATGAGGGTGACACCAAGTTAGCACACAGTGACCAGGAGTGAGTGAGGAGACACATAGCCAATGCAAGATAAGTGTCCCAACATGCTCAAGGCCAGAAGAGCTTTAGTTTTTAGAGCTTTGTGGGCTTTGGAGCACTTGCATTGTCTTTATCGGGTGAAGGATGTTAATAACTAAATTCTGAAGCTGAAATGCTCCTAAATCCAAAATGCTCTAAAATCTGAAATTTTTGGAACTTCACAGTCGCATTTGTTCAAAACATTTTGATTGTTGAGCATTTTGGATTTCAGAATTTCTAATTAATTTCGTGTATCCTACACGACATGCAATGATTCTCATGAAATAAAACTAACATGACGGCATCAGAACCTGAAGAGACAGAGCAAGTGGAAGGATATAAACAATGAATAATTCTGAGGTAGCACAATTTGCTCACCTTTTACCAGCAAAAGAGGTCCGTTATCCAGTTCATTACATTGCTAACTCCTCAGAAACACCCCTCACTGGACAGTCTGTGATGGAAGATTCAGCTCATCGGCAGTCTCTCCCTTGGACAGCAGAGCTGGTTTTATACTGTAAAGTGTCTTGCATGTTTTCTCAAAGGATGTTCGTGCATTTCATGCTCGCTAGCATATATTTCATTAAAATACTTGTAGACTATCTGCTCAGATGTCCTGATATTTCACTTTCACTTTGAGCTTTTTCATTTCAATAGAGCTTCATATTTACCTCAATCACATCCTCCCTGCAGTGCAGATATCCTAAATCGGACTCATCTACATGTCAGGAGGGTATTTAATCTCATCAGTTTACACTCTTTTTTAAACCTGAAGCAGTTGCTAAAAGAACTCAAAGATGGATCCCAATCCTGTCAGACATGACAATCACAGAATTGTGTGAGCTTGTGACTCCTTTTCACAGCCTAAGGTGAAATTAAAAGAAAAGACGAATGAAACAATATCTTCAAAAACAAAATGGAAAACAGATCAAAGACCCTGTCAAAGGTTCCACAGCGATGTGGGCGGAGCCTCGCCCTGGCACAGGTCCCACTCCGGGTGCCCGGCAGGGGGCAGCGCTTGACCTTAGGGAGATTCACGCAGTGTCTAGAGTCAGCTTCAGACAAAGTTTTCAGAAGAGTTCAAGGGAAAAAAATGCAAAACTATGGAAATAAGGCTTTGCAATTGGGCAGGGGAAGGAGAGAAAGAAGAGAATAAGGGTGTGCTGTGCGCATGGACTGATCTTCCAGAACGATGGTGATTATAATGTACGGTAACCACGCAAAAATAAAAAATAAATTTAAGTAATACAAACAGAAAAGGTGAGGTGCAAAACTGAAAAGAATTACTTGAAAAAGGAGATTACTTGAACATCTTCACTGCACTGTATTAGCAAGAACTATGTTTGACAAACAGCAGCATTCCGTCCTGAGCAGTGAGGAGACAGGGAGGGAAGGAGGGCGGAGAGGGCGCCCGGCGGAGGCCCAGACCTCGGGGGCAGCGCAGGCTGAGGCCTCTGTGCCCGGGGAGCGCAGCGGGGTCCCGCCCGCCGGCTCCTCCTCACTCACCTGCGCCTGGCCAGGGCAGCAGGAGCCAGAGCAGGAGGGGCCTGAAGCTCGGGGCCCGGCGCTGCATCCCGGCGGCTCAGGGTGAGGTCGGACCCTGTCCTCGCTCTGTCACAGCTGTGGTCCAGGTGGGTCCCCTGTGGTCACTCTCCTGCAGGAAAAGGGGAAACTGGGTCCTGGACAGAACACCTCGGTGCAGGGGCTTGGAGCAGGGTCAGTGTTCTCTTACTAGGTCTTTTACAAACTCAAGTAAAAAAATCAACAGTGCTTGTAAAAAAAAAAAATAAATAAATCCACAGGCTTCCCAGCAATTCTATTAAGGAATGCAGCGAGGAAACTGCTTTCTTCCCTCATGGCCTTAAAAACCCAGAGTAGATGTTGACCCCACACACTCTAGGTTCCTTGCACCAAGTGCTGTGGTCCCAGATCTCTCTGAGGAGGAGTCACCACACAGGGACGCGTGGGCGGAAGCGCAGCAGAAGAGTTACTCACATTCCGGAGGGGCAGCTGCCAGCAGGGCCCCCAGGGAGCCGCCCCAGGGCAGGAGACGGCCGCTGAGCTCAGCAGCAGCCTGTGCCCGTGCGGAGGCGCTCGGCTCCGTCTCACCCTGCGGACGGGCTCCTCTGAGCGAGGTCCTGGGCTCTGGGCACAGGTCCGTCCTCGCTGTGCGGTGGCGGGTGCCAGGCACACAGGGCAGGTCTGAGGGGGCCTGATAAGGACAGTGCTCGGGCGTGGACTTAATCAGCTCTTCAAGAGCTGGAAAGGACCAGCTTCTTGCCTGAGCCGCAAAATAAAGAAAATAGAGCATTTTTTCTTTAAAAAAAATAAACTATAATATTATTAGTACCTTGATGTCTTAATATTGGCTTTAAGCCCATTTTTTCATATATTTTGGTGATGTCCATAGAACTGGGATGCAGAATGAAAACCAGCGCCTTCATTGATCTGATTTTTAAATAAAGGTCCGAAACCATATGCTAAGTAAGCGATGGTCTCTTTGACAAGTGGTGCAGAGAAAACTGAGTATACATATGCAGAAGAACGAACCTGGACCCATACCTTTCAAATATATCAGACGCCTTTTTATTGCAAAAACAGAAACGCTGAATCCGCTGGAAGTTAGAGCACTAACCGTTTGAAGACAGGCATGGGCAAGGTCTTTCTCAGCAGCACTCCACAGGCACAAGAAATACCAGCAACAATCGGCACAAGGTATTGTATCAGATTACAATTTTCTGCACTGAAAAGGAAATCATCAGTGCAGGGAAAAGACAACCTACGGAATGGGAAAAAGATTATCAGCTAATCCTGAGGCAGAAGACTCATATCTAGAAATATAAAAATGTCAAAAACTTAAGAAGACACTTCAAAATAAAAGACCCCATCAAAAATGGACACGACCTTTAGGGAGGGGCGGGACGGGGAGCAAGAGTGGAGGAGTAGCGAAGGAGTAGCGGGAGCTGGAGGGGAAGGGGAGAAAATGCACGAAGACGCTCTACGCACGTGTGCAAGCTCCCCAGGAGAAACGTGTACTGCAAGCAAGGGCTAATAAGAAAAGTAGGAATGTAAAACTTGATGACAGAAATGAAGAGACACTGCTCAAATGAAGGGGTACACACAGGCAATAAGTCCGTGAGAAATGGGCAGCTTTTTTGGCCACTAGAAATATGCATATCAAGACAAGTGTCCTTCTCACTCCAGTAAGAGTGATGTCATCGAGAACTCAATACACAGTATATTCTGGCAAGGTTGTAGGGAAAAAGCAGCTCTGCCATATGGTTGGTAACTCTGTAAAGTAGTGTGATCACTACGGAAATCAGCATCGAGATTCCTTGAAAACTAACAAATAGAAATTCCATTTGGTAAACTATACTTCTTAAGATAATCTTACCCCAAAAGTCAAAGACATCACACTACAGTGATATAACTGGACTCACAGCAATAATTCATAACAGCTAAGTCGTGGAAGCAGGCTATATTCTCATTAACAGGTAAACTGATGAAGAAAATGTGGTGTATATTCTGAATGGAGAGCTAGTCAAGCATAGAGAGGACAAATTTGAATCACTGGTAGGAAACTGGATGCATCTCAAGACAACGATGTTATCTAAAATGAGTTTTAAATTATTTAAATACTGCCTGGTTTCTCTTGTATGAGACACCCAAAATACAACTAACTCAAAGAGGAAAATGAAAGAAACAGCACAGGTAACCGACCAGCAGATTTGGCAGAGTCTCAGAGATACAGAGAAACAGGTCAGAGGGAATGGGAAGTAAAGATAAGTAAGATAGAATATGTAAATGCATCAGCTCCCCAAAATAATGGCAATTATTATGTATGACAAACACATACCATTAACATATGACAATAGACAGATATGCAGACGTGCAAGAGAATTTTATCAGAGAGCAAGCAGACAGACAGTTACAACGTGGAGTGAGAAAGTGGCACTGCCACATGCGCATCTGCTCTGAGTGAGAGACTACACGCAGCTCTGTGTGCAGAGACTTCACCCTTGGCTTCAGAAACTGCCATCGTTCTCATTCTTTCATCTGCGTAGCACACGTTTCCTGGCGTTTACTTTAGAGGTCACTTTCCTCTGTCCGTATCTCCAAATGTCTTCCTTGTTCCTTCCAGTTAGTCAGGGCTCTCTTACAGGTTTAATCTTGTAAGAAATTCAATAATGAAATTTATTAGAGAAGAAAATTCCAGTCTAAATCAGGTCTTAGTCTAAGATGGAAGTGTTTTTAGAAAATGTTCTTTTTGCAAGTGCAATTTGGCCAGATAACCATGTTTCTATAAGAGTTCGGCTGGAAAGTAAACAAGCCAAGAAAAGTTAGCACATGATACTGAAGACAGAGCTATAACAAATGTCAAAAATATGTGTGGGATTATGTATGTCTAAGGTAATGATTTCAAGTTATATTTCATGATCATACCGACATACATTATGATTTCAGTGTAGATACTGGTCAGGTCCAGGTAAGTACAGCAGATACAGGAGAGGAAAATGTTCAACCTGTGATACCCTGTGGTCTGCATGGTTACTAAAACAAGTAGATTGTTTCTTTTCATGGAATGAACTGATCAGAATAAAGCAGACAAAGTAAACTAACTGTATTTTCAAAAGGTAGCAGGTAAAGATACGAAACCATTTTTTCCCTTACTCTTTGCCTACAACTTTTAATTATATATAGAATGACCTTTCTGTGAGCAGCATAGCAAATACTGACATGAAATATTGATGGAAAATGAACTGAATAAACATTAAATGCAACTCTCTGGTCAGTAATTTTTTTTTCTTTTTCAGGCCTGGAACATCTCACTAGATGTCCCACTAGGATCCCTCCTTCTTCAGAAACATCAAAAGAGAGCGAAAGATATTATTCTTTAAGTAAATGTGGAGAGTTTATACCCCCAGAAGTGTATTTCTCCCCTTTTTGGAGAATTATTTTTACACAGGCACATAACATATTCTCCATCCTCCAGGAAAGAAGTGACACATGGAAAAAGGCTACCAACGATCCTCCTTTTCTAAAAGTGTGTTGAACACGGTGTCAGTTGTGTGAAACCCTGATCAACACCCTCAGCACGCCGATGGCTGTCACATTTCGTGTAGGCTGCTTTTTCATGGCTGTGCAGAGTTTTCTGTATCCATCCTATGACTAGTTTATGCTTCCTCTGGTAGATCTGTTCCAGAGCTATCTAGTCCTTTACTTTCTCAAGCACGCTTTCTCCTTTATGTTCCTATCGCCTTAATTTCCAGCGATCACAATGATAGTTACGTTATCACTTCCTAAACCGATTCAGAACTTCATAGTCCAGCGTCATTACCATGTGTTCCTATGGCAAGGGGTAATTACCTGGTACACAGCGTTCCTGACATTATTAATATTGCAGTGCTTGTGTGTGTAAAATGCACTCTGGCTCCAGTAGCAAATCAGTCTATGGTTCGCTAGTTACCAACCATGGAGTGACAGCTAAGGACGGCACACCAGGAGTGGGTCAGGGTGCAGCAGCATAATGCTGACCAGTGTAGGAGGCTGAGGAGGAGCCAGGAGAGGACTGAGGCTCCCTCTTTCCAAACTCATGCACACACCTGTGGTCAAGGTGCCTTAGCCGTGGTGCAGTTAGCAGGAGACAGGACCCCGTCCCACTTCAGAAGGAGCTGGGAGGGAATTTCTCTACAAAAGATCCAGTGCTAAGGACATTTTGTATCTCTTCTTAGTGGGAGTATCATCTTCGTAAAAAAGTGGGATTTAAAGAACAAAATAGCATTATGTCCCTGGCTGGGCTGCCGGCCTGCTGAAGTAGTACCGTCAGCAGCATTCACCTCATTGTTAGTCTGCATTCATTTTGTAAGTGTAAAATGCACACTGGCCACAGGTAGCAAATCACCTCATCCCTGACAGTCACCAGCCATGAAAGGGGCAGTCGATTACTGCGGTGCCCAGAATTGGCCACACCAGGACTATGTTGAGGAGAAACAGCAAGATGGTAAGAAGGTGAGATTGCAGGAGCCCCGTGAAAAGGCTGTGCCCCAGTTGGGAAGAACAGGACTCACTTCCTGTGGGAGTCCTGGAACCCTGGTGGTTGCTGTGTGTGGAGCAGCGGGAAGCGCTGCCTTTTCACAGGCACTCAGAATTTCTCTGCTAAATTAAATGAGTGGGCAGAGTCCTTGGAGGTCAGTGCGCCCTGAAGACTTGAGGACACCACGTGGAATTTACAGAGTAATATAAGGAGGAGGGGTATAGTGGTGCACGCATGTAATCCGGGCACTCTGGAGACTGAGGCAAGAGGATCTCTGTGAACTCAAGGCCAGCCTGAGCTACATGGTGAGACATTGTCTGAAAACAAGCAAACCAACACAAAAAATTAAACTAAAGAAGAACAACATTGTAAATTTTTACATTGACTCTGGAAAAGGAACACAGTCAATTGTCTGAATTTGTGCTGACGTTGACATAGGGGTTGGGAGTTCTGTAATAAAGAGCACACTTGACTGAGATTCACTCAGTCATTGTAGGAATTTCCTAGGCGATGTCCTAACACCACACGCAGTGCTCTTCTGATGCCTTATGTTCAAGGTGGCAGCAGTAATGTCAAATGTAACGTCTGAAGCCAGGACCTACAGTCATCCTTTGAGAGCATATCTCAAAGGTGAAGGAGCAAAACGAATGGCAGACAATACAGAAAACACAACTTTAACCCACGTCAGAAGCCTCTCGCTCACTCACACGTGTCAGTGGACGGTTCTGGCTCACGTGCTGTCGGGGACATTCAAACGCATTACGGTTATTCCTTACTAATCCCACATGGGTGAATGGAAATAGAGGAAGCACAGAGGAGTAAAGTCTGGTCTGATTCCTTGTTTAATACGTGTTGGATAAAATTAGTCACGTTTAATTTTTTGGAAAGATCAGAGTTAAAACAAAGGACAGAGTACTACATTATTTTTCTCAGTACGTCCCCCGCAGAGAGTGAAACCTTCTGTGTGTTCCTCTCTCTGTAGCTCCACAACTGGGAGCAGCACCAGCTACTCAGCACCTGTGTCAGACACTTACAGGATCTGTGCTCAGGCCAGGTGTATTGGAGGCTACACCCTGGAATCTGAGAAACAAAGCCGCGCCAGTACACTGACCCTGCAGAGAACAGGGAGGGAAAGGCGACTATTTCCTGAAATAATGTGATGACTGACACTGGGGCTCGGTTACAGCACAAAGATGGGTACACAGGTTCCCACATTCTTGGACAGAGTCACAAATATCATGTTTGGG